TCTTGGCCTGTCCCTGTCTGCTTTGCCTGACCTCCTGCTCTTCAGGATGAACTTACAAGTGTTGGGATGGCATCTCCCTTCCCAGCCCCGCTGGTATGTGCATGTGCCCTGTGAACTGGAGTAGGCTGTGTGGTGGTATTGGGGCGCCAAGTGGGGTTACAGTACTGCGGCCAGTTGAAAGTGTTCTGGGAAGACCTTGGACCGAGGAGACTGGTCTGATCTGTTTGAGGGAGGTTCTGGCTAAGGCCTGCAGAGACTGCTTGAAGAGGTCCCACCCCAGCAGTGAGGATGATGGCCCACAGTGCCGTGCAGGCCACAATGGGGTGGCCCAGGGGTCCCCCACCTGTGCTTGCTGGGGATACTAAGGTTAGGGACTGCAGGTATCCTGTTCTTTCTCCCTTCTTCTCCAGGACCCTGCAGGCAGAGGGCAGTGGCATCTCCCCACCAGAGGACCTGCGGAGGGAGGGTCGGCTCAGGATCCTGGGACCTGTTCCCCCTCGTTCCCTCTGCTCACACACATTCATAGAGTGTTCACACACTCACAGAGAGCACTCACACACTGGAGTGTTCACACACACAGAGAGCACTCACACTCTGGAGTGTTCACACACTCACAGAGAGCACTCACACACTGGAGTGTTCACACACACACAGAGCACTCACACACTGGACTGTTCACACACACACAGAGCACTCACACACTCATGAGTGCTCACACACATAGCGTTCACACACTCACAGAGAGCACTCACACACTGGAGTGCTCACACACTCACGAGTGCTCACACACATAGCGTTCACACACTCACGAGTGCTCACACACTTGTACTCACATAGTGCTCATGCACACGCGCTTACACACATACGCGCATGCACTCAGTTTTGCTCAATGTGACTTTTCCACCTCCTGTTCCAGGCCTGCAGGCCCAACGGCCTCTCCTGAAAACCTGACCCCACAGCTGCAGCCAGATACGCTTCAACGGGGAGAATTCCGCAGGCTCCCTCTGGCCACTGATTAAGGCTTAAATCTGCCTGTTCGGTGGCAGAACAGCCAGGGCCATGGCTTCCGGAAGGAGCTGCAGGCTTTGCTTACCAGCCCCGCCCACACGGCGCCTGCTTGGTCGATGCAGAGCCTGGGGGATGCATCAGCGGTTCTTAAGATGGTGGTTGGCCCTGGACACTGCTGGCTTAGCACAGGGGGTCCTGAATCCAGCATGTAAGCACGCTGTCTCTTCTCCTCTCTCTCCTCTCCCTCTTTTCCCTCTCTCCTCTCTCCAGACCCTGAAATCCTGGCCATAAGTCTGCTTTATACTGGGGGCCTCTGGGAAGATGAGAGATACATTTTGTTCTGGGTAAAAGGGGCAAAAAATTCCCTGGCATGGGGCTGGAAGACTTGGAGCTAAACCCAGGTTACTTGGAATTCAGAGAAGGGTGACGGGTCATGTGGCCCCAGCCCATGCAGCCATTCCTTGAGCAGTGAGAGCTGACCCATGACATATGGTCATGATGGTCTCACATACATTGACTGGCATGATGCCCACAGGGTCTTGATGTTAGGTTCACCAGGAACAGGCTCAGCCAGAACCTGGGATTGAGTAGCTGACCTGGCTGTGACTCAGTGTCATTTGACTTGAGGGTTTGACCCCATCTACACTGATCCCCTGTGCCCTCCCCTCCTTGCTTTGTTATTCTGGTAGATTTTCCAAAAGAAATTTTAGGACTGGCAGCCCCAACCAAGAGGAAGTCATTGAAAAACCAGACAAAGAATTAGACCTCCACACCAGTTGATGGCATCCAGTTGTCCAGTCACAAATCACCATGAGCCCAAGGCCTTGGCACTGAGCTCCCACCTGTTAGTGTAGGTGGAAAACACACCCATTGTTCCAGCAGTCTGAACTGCATCTGGGTAGAAAGGTATCCACCCTGGGAACACATCTGTAAACTCTGGGAGAGGAGCCCGTGGTCTCTTGGCTGGGATTGCCATCTCAGAGGGCATCTTGCCTGGAGCTCATGGGCAAGGAAGTCGAACATTACTGGTTGACCCAGGGACTCCACAAAAATGGAGTGATGCATGCCTGGCTCCCCAGGTCTTCAAGTCTCAGAGCAGGTGCCTGGTTCTCCAAGGCCCTGGGAGCTGTTCCTGTACCTTCTCATAATGTGTTCTGCACACGCTCCTTAGGCCTCTTCCACCCTCCCAACCCCTGTGAAAGAAGAGCTCTCTTCCCAGTGTCAGGGACAGCAGAATGGAGAAAGGGAGGCGGTCACTTAACTAACCCAGTGACCATGGGTACAGGGTCCAGCCGGATACACAGGCCTGCGTTTAATCCACAGGAAGCACTGCCTTCTCTCCATCTGTTTGCTGGGCCTCAAATTAAGCAGGGCTTTGCTAAAGTGCTGTTTTCCTCCGGTAGGCGAGGGGTTTGGGGAAGTAGAATTCAAACTGAAAAAATAAAAAGAGAGAAATAGCTCTGAGTTGACCACGCACTGGACGGGGACCTTTCCCTGCTTGGGCTCCTCTCCTGGAAAAACTGCTTTGTGTCCTAACTGCTCTAAAAGGCAGCAGCATCGGCACCCCGAAGGAGTTAAGGAGCCCGTCTCAGGGAACCTGGGCTTCCAGCGAGATTTTGTTTGTGAGCTCTGCACAGTTACCAGTTCTAAATAATAAGGTGGCATGTTAATTACCCCCCCACATCTAATTTACCTTTCTGCCGCACACAGGCAATGGGAAGGGTTATGGGGGTGCTCTTTCAAACCTAAACAACACCAGGCTTCAGGGTGGAGGGAGCCGAGCCACAGCACTGTTGCTGAGTTTCTGAAAGGATCCTACCAGCCAATTAAAAAGGAACCGTTGGCCACTTAAAACATAGTCATTACTTCCGTGAATGCCTGCTAAATTAAATAAGTGTTATCCGCATGATTTTTTTTTTTCTGAGACTTCGGTTTCTTTTGAAAGAAAACATTTTGTTACTTCCCCAGTCAGTTTGCAGCCAGCATGGGGAATCTGAAATCATTTTTCTTGTACTTGAAAGTTCTGTCTCTCCAGAAGCTTCTATTTCACCAGCCAACATCAAGGAGCAGGGAGGGGCCTCAGGACATGGCCCTGGAGTGACTTCCACAGGTCCCCAGACCAGTGGCAAGACGGGATTGAGCTTTGAGATCTGGATCAGGGGTCAGCGCATTGAGTGAGGAGCCAGCCCTAGGGTTCCATCTTCCCTTTGCACCTCAGCTTTCCTGACTGACTGAGGTCAAGGTCATAGTACAGAAGTAACCATTCTTCCATTCTTTTTTTTTTTTTTTAATCTTTTTGAGACAGGGTCTCCCTGTAGCCCTAGCTGGCCTGAAAGTCACTATGTAGACCAGGCTGGCCTCGAACTCACAGAGATCCTCCTGCCTCTGCCTCCCAAGTGCTGGGATCACAGGCGCGTGTCAGCACGCCTGGCTAGAAGTAACCATTGTTAAGCATGGATTTCAGTGGCACTTAGCACATTCCCTCTGTTGGGCAATCTAATTCTGGAACATTCCCACCACCCATAGGAGACTGCACTCCAGTTCCTAGAGACTTTTATGGATTTGCCTCTTCCGGATTCTTTGAAGAAATGGGATCACGTGGTGTTTGTCCTTTGTATGGTCGGCTTCTCTTAATTTTCATAATATACTGTTTTAAGTTTTAGTGAATAAGTAACAATTGTTTGCACTCGTGGGATGCCATGTGGTATTAATACATGTGCACACTGCAAGATGAGCGAGGGATTATAAAGTGTGATGTTCCTGTGCATATGTACATGGTGGGGAATGAACAGGGATTTACAGGCTAAGTGTGTTGTTTCTACATGTGTGCACACTGTATGCACTGGGGAATGGTCAGGTCAGGGTGACCAGCAGATGTGGCACCTCAAAAGGGAGACAGGGAAAGGGAAGAGGTTGGTCAATGGGGATGAAGTCAGTTAGACGGGAGGAATGAATACAGGTGTTCCGAGGCATGGGAGGTTGTCATGGTTAGAAATGGTGTGCTCTGTGTTTCAAAGGTGGCTGTGGGGGACTGCAAGTCTTCTGGGTACTTTGCATGCGTCTGTATCACAGCAAGGTGGGGTGTTGTGCTTCTGGTGGCTGCCCCCGGCGTGGATAGAGCACTGTCTGTTCATCGGCTTGTCTGTGCTGCTGGATGCTTGCGCTGGTCCTGGCTTCTCATTGCTTTGGACCCTCACCCGTCTGAAGCCCTGTTTGCACTGCTCAGAGATGCCAGAAATGGAGTTGCTCTCTTTTCTGTCTGAGTTCCTTGGCCCCCACCTTTCCTCTGCATCACCCCAGTGTATCAGGATGCTCTTCTCACATGGTACTGTCTTGACCTCAACCTTTGCTCAGGTGAACCACACAGACAAGCCAGGGCCCTCTTCCTTATGCTGGGTCCTGCAGCCTGCATGCAGCCTGAGTCCCAAGTCCATGACCCATTCCTAACCTGCCTTGGGATCATTGGGAACTTTCACAAACCCTGCACAGGGCCTGGCTATCCCAGTGTGCTATCCAGAGTGGCCTTGTGTTGGGGGCAGAAGCTTTGAGAAAATCTCACATGAACCCAAATTCTGAGTCCTCTCAAGAACTCAGGACACATCTCAATCCCCCAGTCTAGAATGGTTACACAACAAATATCTCACTGTTGTCTAAGCATGTGAGGTAAAGCTCTGCTTTCCCAGAGCTGAACGGGGCAGTACATCTCAGGAATCGAGATGCCAGCCTCTGGCATAGTGGGAACGGTGGCCAAACCAGGAAGAGCTCTGCTGTGCTGTGGGTAGCTGGTCGTCCCTGGAGGAGCCTGGTGGGATTTCTTCCTGGGAGCGGCTGGTATCACATGCCCACTGCTTGGTTTGGGATGGTGCAGAGGTGGTCATGCAGGAATGGCATGCAGGAGCCTGCTAGACCTCTAGTGCCCCTGGGTTCTTAAAGGGCCACGTCCCCGGGGAGTCCCTCTGCTGCAGAGGCTGACGTTGTATTATTTCCTTTAGGTGACGGTGACGTTGTAAATAATATGTATGAGCCCGACCCAGACCTGCTGGCCGGCCAGAGTGCCGAGGAGGAGACCGAGGACAGCATCCTGTCCCCCATCCCCATGGGGCCACCGTCCCCCTTCCCCACCAGCGAGGACTTCACTCCCAAGGAGGGTTCACCCTACGAGGCTCCTGTCTACATTCCAGAAGACATTCCGGTCCCACCAGACTTCGAACTGCGAGAGTCCTCCATCCCAGGAGCCGGATTGGGGATCTGGGCCAAGCGGAAGATGGAAGTCGGGGAGAGGTTTGGCCCCTACATGGTGGCGCCCCGGGCCACGCTGAAGGAGGCCGACTTCGGATGGGAGGTGAGTGTGCTGAGTCTGAGCATGATTGATCGTGGCCATTTATCTTGTGTTCAATCTATTTATAAAGCTGGTGCAGCCACTGCCCGAGGCAGGAGGCTCGGTCTGTTGAGGAGAGAGCATTCGAATGTCACATTTCCCAGGGTTATTTTATCCTGCGGCTCGCATGACGCGACTCAGAAAACATTGAGGTCCTCGTGGACGCCCATCAGCCCTGATGGCCATGGTGCTCTCGTTCCGGAAATGTGTCTTTCATGAGCTCATGTCTTGAAACATCCTGTGCCTCCCACTGGATGTAGGTGCTAACCCACTCTCATTGTACAGTAGCTGAATGTTCTAGAAGAGGCAGCTTTACTCCGAGAATTTCATTCCACTCTCAACAGCTTGAGACTGTGGGAGCTTACAAAACAGGCCTGGTGGCCATGCAGCCCCCACACCCAATTTTGCTAAGGCTCCTTCCCAGCCCTAAGACTACAGTTCTCATGTTTCACAGTGGAGGGCACCAGCCTTGTCTGGCTGTCTGAGCTTCCCTGCCATATCTCTGCAGGCCTCTGGGGCTGGAGCCCATGTACAGTTAGCCTGTATAGGTGGGTCTGAAAGGATGGTGTGTCAGGACTCCACGGCTACCTAAAGACTCCGACACACTGTCCTCTTCCAGACCCCTGGGAAGCTTGGCAAGCTCTAGCCACGTCAAGGATCTCCCCTGAGGTAGCTCTGAACCAGGAGCATCCACAGGTGACTTGCTGAGGTCCTGAGGCACACGGAGCCTGGGTTTGGGGCACTGTCAAGGTGGCCTCATGGGAACTAAGAGCACCACAAAAGCACGTTTCCCCACAGGCCCCAGCCTTCCTGTGGCCCACAGGGCTGGTTTCCAGTGGTGCTTTTGGCAGGGAGCCTGCCTGGGTGGAAAGCAGGAAAGCAAATCCAGATTCCTTCTGGTGTTTCACAACCTCCACAAGTGCCTGCACCGAGGTCAGTGCCAGGAAGGGCAAATGGTCCAGGGAAGGGAGAGAGCCCAATGGCCAGCAATGGTCTCCTAACAACGGGGCAGGCAGGAGTCCTGCGCCCCATCTTCCTACCTCCCCCAGCTTCTTGGTCACTTTGGAAGAGTTTTCAAGCAGATCAGCATGTTAGTTTTCTGTGTAAAGTAGGGAAAGAACTAAGGCCTGGATCCCTATATTTTACGGTCTCCAAACTTTGCGCATCAGGACTCCACGGCTACCTAAAGACTCTGACACACACTGTCCTCTTCCAGACTCTTGGGAAGCTTGGCATGCTCTAGCCACATCAAGGATTTCCCCTGGGCATGTTATATAAAGCTCTTTCTTGGGATAGAACAGAACCCTTGGTGGGGGGTGGGGGTGAGCGCCTCTGCTGGTAGTGACTAGAGACCTCCCACATTCCCTACAGATCAGGGGCTGAATGCTGGGGCCTCCCTCCATGTGCTCAGAAGGCATGTGAAGTGAGATCCCTGGTAGCACTGGGTCTTGTGTGGTTCAGGGTCAAGTGCACGGGGACTCTGATCTGAGCCTCCCCCACTTGCTCTTTAAAGGACTTGGAGGGCCCAGGTGGGAGGCTGGATTGACCAAAGGGATGAAGAAATGGGTGAGTTAACTGTAACTCAGCAGCTGACCTGGGTCAGCTGGTCTGTCATGTCCTCTGCCATCAGAGGTGACAGGTGCAATGTATGAGGACCAGAGTTTAAGGTCACCTTCTGGACTTACTGGCCTGAGGCCAAGAACCAGGTGAAGCAGGAGGTAGGGGAGAGCCTAGAGTCCCAGCTTTCCAGTGGGCACATACCGTGCTTTGCCATGACCCAAGGAGAACATTTTATAAACAACATGGGCTTAGTTGGACTTGGCCTTTCCCTGCCTGGTGTGCTGGAGACTGTAGAAAGTGTTTGTTTGATGCACTTAAAAGGTCTGACTATTTAAATAGTAGACTAGCTTTTAGATGGTGGGGAGTAAGTGAACCCAATAGGTAATAGGTAGTTCTTGGGATGACCTTGAAGTGACTTTGTTCTTGTCTGTTCTGATACAAGTTTCTGTTCAATTTTTTTTTTTAAAGAAATGACCCATATCTCAGTGGCTCCCTGGGTGCCAGACCTGGTACAGGCTGTCTCTATCGCCCGCCAGGGCCTGTTGACTCTGCAAAGTTGTTTACTCTCCTTGTACGTACATGAGGGTGCGCCCCCTCTCCGAGATATACTTCCTACTTCTGCGGAGAGCTCTGTCCCATAGTGGTGACCTGACAACTTCTTGTCATGCCAGTGCTTAGAACTAGCTGCCCCCAGCCCAACGTCCTCAAACGGTGTTCTAGAAGCGCCCGGCATTTTCTAGCCTGACCTTGTTTTCTTCAAGAATCCAGGCAGCAACTACCTGGCTCTGTGACCAGCCAGCAGACCTTGTGTCCTTCCACGTGGCAATTGGAACCATAGGCAGAACTGGACAGGCAGCCATCATTGGTCCACGGAGCCAAGAGGAGGCTTCTGAGGAGCTTGGACTTTTTCTGGCTCCAAGGATTAAGGCAGAAGTGGGTTCTCTCTGGCTCCACAGACTGAGGCCTCTGAGACCTGAGAAGGCATTTAGACCTCTCCCCTCCTAACAGCCTCCCTGGAATTTTCCGTCTGCATCTTGTGATCATTGGTGGCTCTTTTACTTTGTTTCTCTGTCTTCCTCAGGGTACAAAGGTAGCTCAGGAAAGACGGAGTATGACTGGTGCCACTCCTTTCCCAACTTCCTAAGCCTGTGCCTTATCATCTCCTGATCGTGACTCAGGACAGAGAGAAAACCCAGGACACAGGGCCCAGGCTTCCCCTTGGTAGAGAGAGAGGGGGGCCTCTCGTTAACTACCCTAACCACTCACACCAAGTGGCCTGGCCTCTGCAGGTTGAGAGGAAGAAGCATTGATGTGCAAACATGTTGCGGGCAGGGATGCCCCAGTCAGGCTTAGGGTGGTCCGAAGCGTAATGGGTGTAATACCACAATGACTCCCAATTTCATACATAATTATTCACTCTCACCCTCATAATTAAGTTCTGTGAATCAGAGTAATTGAATTTTGTAATCATTAACAAGGTGCTCATTGGATGGAGCAGAGCAAGTGGTGACATTTTGACAAAGATGACAGATGAGAACCAAGGAGGACCCACACTTGTTTGGCCTCCGAGCAAGTGGGGTGCACTGTTTGGTGTCCAGTCTGCACCCCAGGGCTTGGCTTGTCCTAAAAGATCTGGGGGGGTCATGTCTTCGGAGGAACAAATGAGAGGGGGATGAATACCCCTCATAGGCAAAGGACAGGTGACCCTCTGGAGGCCAGTTTGAAACAGAGGTCAGATCGATTGTTCATACCAACATTTGGGATGCTGCGGACATAATTTTCATTTCTCAGAACAAAGGTTTTGTTTCAGATGATGTAATGGGTCGAGTTCCCTTTTCTGCATAAGGAGAGGTCTGGCTAGCATGAGATTTGGGGTGACTAGATCTGAGTGAAAGGTCTTCTCTCTACATGGGTCAGGTATAGATGACCACGCAACCTAGGGCTCAGACAGTGGCATGCAAGAGACCGGCTTCCTGTCCCCAGTGATGGGTGCACCCCATACCCGAGGTGGGCTCTCTATTGGCAGACTGGGGGTGTGGGCAGACTGGGGGTGTGGGCCCTTAGCCTTCCTTTCTAGCCCCATAGGACTCAAAGCCCTTCCTCCAGAGCTGGCTGGGGAGGCTTTCTCCCTTACGTCTCTTCAACTGTGTGTTAGGGACCTTCACATGATTCTTAGAAGAAAACATGTCAGGCGTCCTTCCCTCAACCTAGCTGGTAGTGGGCATGGGGATGGGCTCAGGGCCTGTACCTGCCTCCCGGTCTCTGTCCCTCAAGGAGCATGCCCCAATTTCCAGGCTCCTCCACGCTGACATCCTGGGATTGGCATCTATTCCTCTCCTCATGTCACGCCCTGCTTGCTGACACCGAAGCCCTCCACTCACCCTGCCTGTGGGAATAAATCACCCCCCGATGGCATTTTATTGCCCTGAGGTCTGCAAAAGCAATGATTTTGATCATGTGTTGAGTAAATTATAACATTTATCATCGTGCTATTTATTTTGCTAATTAAGAGATGGCTGTGGTGACAGCCCAGAGGGATGGGCTATGGAGGGGCTGCTCATAGGCCATCTGCCCCAGGCGGAGTCTGCAGCTGTGTGCCCCAGCTTGCTCGGATAGAGCACACAGGGTAGGACACCTGGGGAAGCACTGCAGGCAGGCTTCTTGCTGACAGCCACAATCCCCCAGATTTGGGCTGGGTACTCATAGAGGCTGTCCCCAGAAAGTCACTCTCTGATTGACACTCAAACATCATCTGCTGAATAAATGTGTCTCTCAGTGTTTAAGAGGTGTTAATGTAGAATGACAGGGCTTCAATCATCTGAGGAGTTTACTCAAGTGGACTGCCTCATCCCCTGGTGAGAGGGACTGAATATTAATAGATGTGTTCGTTTGTTCAATCAACAAACAGGCCAGACCCAGGCCACGCCACAGGAAGCTCTAGGGCGGTAGGGGTAACAGCTTGGCGGCCTCAGCCTGTCCTGATTCAGTCACAGCCTGAGGGCCTTATGCCAGTTCTTCCAGGTCTCTGGGAGCCCCCCATGTCCTCAGAAAAGATCAAGACTACTAGTTACCCCCAGGAATCCTGAGTTACCCTGATAGCCAGAGACATCAGGGCCAGAGGACACAGTGAGCAAAAGCCACCCTAGCTCTGCGTGTCAGATCTGAGAAACTCCTGCACATTTAATGTGAACTTGTCACCCCAAACATCAGCCTTCGAAGACTGAGCCAGCATGCTTGCATAGATCTACATTAGCCCAGCTCTGCAGGTTGCTGGGAAAGCTAGGCCTTCCTTCTTCCAGGAAGGGATGAGAAAAGGTTGGGATTCCAAGTAGCGGGGTGGCAATGGAGGACCTGGCTGGTGCTTGGTTCCTGGGGAGGAAAGGAACATCCACAGAAGGAGGCCT